TTCTACTATGGATTATTAGGCAGCTTCTTACTACAAGAAAAATAGTATTATGTAATTAACCCCAACCAGAGACAAAAAAAATTATTTTTGAACAAGCAAAAGAAATAAATGTTTAATTAAGATCACTGATTCTAAAAAAGTGGTATTTTAAGCAGTCAGAAACATACTCCCTTTTTTTGGATAACTGAAGCTTTGGACTTTCTTTCACAGAATTTTGGGGTTGTGTGGGGAGAAAATAGGATATGTTTTTATCATTAGATTGACATCTTGCTAACATTTAGGGGAAAAAATATATATGCCAATAACACAGAACCAGTTAAGAATACAATCCTAATTTACATACAAATAAAATATGATTCCTTTTTGCAAGTTATTTTTTCTTTTTGTTAACATTTCTTACTTTCTGGAACGTTAAATTGGCTTGATTTATTGAAGGCCATCCTCTTGGAAGGTCAAGTAGAAATTCCTCCAAAATATTTGACTGGCACAAGCATATCACTAACACAATTAAATCACTAACAAAAAAAGTCTCATGACAACTCCTTAATTGAATTATGTGAACTATTTACTAACAAAATCAAAATTATTAGCCCTTCAAAAATAGCATTCCAGAATTCACACCTATGCCTCATGAGCCAGTAACTAATTCTAAGAAATTTTAAACGTTCTTAAACATATTAGTGGATGTGTTCATTTTTAATTTAAAAAAAAAAAGTTCAATTTTCAACTCTTTCATTATCCTGCCATGAGTTACAATGGTTACTCACTCCAGCCTCAATACAACACACATGTTAAAGGAGAGTCTGTTCACTGAATGCAAGCAATAGGCAGCATAATTGTACAGTCCAGGTATTAAGCAAACCAATAAAAACACTTAAGAACCCAAATTTCATTTTCAATTGCTGTTCCTTCTTCATTGTTACTCAAGTTATATTACTCCCCCTTGAGCACCATTAGTCTGTTGTAGAAGAGATCTGGATAACCCAAGGGAAACGATACGGAAGGAAAAAAAAAATTATGTTCAGTGCTTGCTGAATCAAGCTTAGGCTCAGTAAAGCCAAATTGAACACTTTTATGTTCATGGCAGTTTGTAGAAAGAGATCTGTCCTCAGCAATCAGAAAACAGAATTCAGCAACAAAGGTGCAGATCCTTTGTTGATAAGCCTTCACTACAATGAAACTAATCGAGAAAGACAATACGATTTTTAATTATTTAATATCTGAATAATAAAACCCTCAGAAAAATATCTTCAGCATGTCTAAGAACATAATTCTCAATATTGTGAGAATTGAGATATGGCAATATTTGAAATGAATATTCATTAAAAATACAATTCACACTGAAGAAAAACAGAATCTGTCTCTCAAGTGTGCTATTAACTATTTTGGAATTTGAGATACCTTGTAAATGACAATTTACTAACGTTTATGATATAGTCCTATTAGTTGGGGAAAAGAAAGGAGGGTAGCAGGAAAAAAGCAGAAAAAAAGATGGTTGACAACATTATGCAGCACTTCAGTCACAGTCCAGTTAAATCACCTTCAAGCCTGACAATGTGGATTTGAAAGCATGTATACACGGTTATGACACCAGTGGCACAACATGATCAGAGAAACAGGCAAAGAATGATTCTCTTTTGGTGGCATACCATATAGCTTGTAGGAAAGAGAGGTGTTATAATGATACTTAATTAACTTTGATGGATTGTGAATTGGACAGAAACCAATTTTTCAGTTCTGCAGGTGGTGAAAAAAAGCTGATTTCCAAGACAGTGGAGTGTAAAAGCAATAAGACATGGCAAGAACCCAAATATGAAAGACAGAAGATTAAAATGAACCACTAGTGAAATGTAGACAATGTGGATATCAACAGATTAAGAGGGGAAAAGAGAGATAGTGATTTAGAATCTGAAGGTCTTCAAACAGCAAGATAATAGTAAATAAGTCACTAATTAGTCTTTTCCTTTTTTCTCAGCTCTATATGCTCGGCTCACCACAAAAAGGACCACTACTCACAGTTAAACATTTAAACACAACTGAGTATTTCAGTGTCAAGTATGATTTGTAACCCTCCAGTAAATTGCAGTTAGAAAATAGAAGAAAGTTTCTTAAAAGCGCTGTCAGCTCAAAGATTTTTGTTCTAATTATTTAGGGGGAAACGGCGTTCAGGTTTGAAGACACATACTTCAACTTTTTTCTGGTAGGAAAGAGCAAAGATTTAAATAATTGCAAAAGATGAAAATTATAATTTTAAAATTGCTCTAACACTGGAAGAATCAAACATTCAGTTAAAAAAAAGATTTTTTTTTAAAAAGGAGAAGTAGTCTCAAAAGATACTGGAAAACAAAGTACCTGAACACCTGGAGGAACAGCGTATTTAAGGACAGCATTTTTGTTGTGAAGACAAAAGTGTTAACATTTAAAGTAACTTTATATGTCACAAATTGTACACCTACAACGCCTCAAATTCATGGTGCAAAAACATGTCTACAGAACACTGAGAAAATAGCTAAAAAATTAAAAAGCCACATAACATTCTTCAATCACTTGTCTCTAAGCATGCACTGGAAAATATGCAGGTTTCCAGGGCCCTCTTCATTAGTTTGCACCTTTTAAAGGCATGAAAACAAAGACAAGGCTTGTAAGGAACAGCTGCCTAAGTCTGCATGCAAACACACGCAAGCACTCCGCACTACTCTTAACACAATGACTGTTACCATCATAGAACAAGCTACTTCCACAGTTAAGGCAACAGTGAATTGAGCACATGCCAATATAACTTCATGAAACTAGAACACTTTATTGTCACAAGACAGAAGCATCTGTAACTGTCAATAACAACCTCTAATAAAAAAAAAAAACTTTACAGTTCTTTTACAAAAAAAGAAAGCCTAGCTTACAGGAGTTTTCCATTGATACTTTTATTTGAAAGCAAGAACAGTTTAAGAAGTTCGCACTTTTCCTGGCCCACTTGTAACTATACCAAAGTTCACTGCTTCTCTAACTGTAACAGTACAACCGCTTACTGATTTTGAGAGGTTTAAACCTCGAATTTTTTTTTTTTTTTTTTTTTTGGAATGAGGAGTGAGGAGAAAGTGACCCAGTCTTACAACACAGCCTCCCTCACAAGCTTTTCTCTCGGTACTAGCAGTGAAGGGACAACTTGTGGCATGAGGGCAGGTGCAAGAACCTCTCAATCAGGCTTCGTTGTGGAAGAAAACATATTGCGTCACTACACTGCAAGTTGTTTTCTTTATTTTAATTTTCAAAGTTACGCAAATTACTTACACACAAAATTACTAGATTACGCATGCACAAACTACACACTAAAACAACATCAAATTATCTGGCTGATATTCTTATGTCTAGCATAAAAGGCTGCAGAGCTGTTTTGCTCTTTTTAGAGCAACAATTTTAACACACTGAGGGATCTACTGTTGGAAATGAACGCTCTAGAACATTTTAGTCTTTTTGTAGCCAATGATTTGTTTAAGCCTGTTAAGAATATCTCTCTAAAAGAATTATGTATCAAATAAAATGGTACTTTCTTCTAATTTTTTTTCCCTGACTACAGTAACAAGTTATCACCTTACCTGGAGAACTCTTATGTAAAATTTCTGGTCTTAATCCTGCAACTGCTGAGGTGTGGTAAAGCCCTACACCATCACCGCACTGCCACTTATGTCAACAAAAGAGTGATCAGCAACACAGTCCTGCTAGAAGACCAAAAGCCTCTAGGCCTTTGGAACGTTTTACTTCCAATTCACTTTTTACTGCCACTCAAAACATTTTGGGATAAATAGGCAAAGTAAGGGAAAAGATTTACAGCCTGCAATTTTCCAGGTAGTTACTATCACTTAATATTTTGAGATTGAAATCTTAAACTTCCAGTTTACTCTTCTTTTTATATGTGATGGGTTTATGGGTGATGTTGTTGTCTTCTTAGTATAATGGGTTTAAACTTATTTTTGTTTTTAAGTTTGCAAGGCCCTAAACAGTTTCCATGCGTTGAAATGCACTGTCATTGCTTTCTTCAGTAAAGAAATCAGTTTTGCCTTCAGGTTTTCAGAGCTGTAAACAATTCTAGGCAATAATCACTTTTTAGATACATTTAGGAGCTTGAAATCCACTTTTACATCAGAAAGGTTTCTCCTGCACTGTAAGAAAACTTACATCAGAGCTTCACTAGAACATTATCTCTAGCCCTTACAGTTTGGAGGAAAAAAAAAAAAAGGCATTGCAACTCTAACTAGAAAAGTGATTATCCTTTTCTTAAACAGGCAATTTTTACAGTGAAACTGAAAATCATTTCAGCATATATTGTTCTATCAGTGATGGGGAAAAAAAAGCTGAAAAAGCTCAGAGGATCAGAGGATCTAAGATAAGCAGAATGGAGAAAATAGCAAAGGATGATTTTCCTCCGTCTCTGAAATAATGAGGAGGCCAGACAGCTGAAGTTGCCTATAGCCTAGCAGCATCAGTAGAGTAACAGATAACTGTTGTAATACCAGCTCCAAGTCTACATCTTTTTACATCTACAACTGGATATGAGGAAAGGGAGGGAAAGACTCTTCTGCTAGGATTCAAGAAAGGGACACTACATGTGTATCTAATACACACTAATAAGAGACTAATAGAAAAAAAAAAAAAACAGAACCTCAGAGCAGGAAAGAGGTATCTTTATTACCCTATCCCTCTCAGCTTGGATCACATGTATCGATCCTGCATCCTCCTTCAGGCTACAGGTCACTACAGTACATTAGTGAGGAGCAACCATCCAATACCTCCCACGTTCAGCACGGGGACAGCACAAACCTTAGATAAAGGCAAGGAACGCCTAGTCCCAGGCGGACCCTGGAAAGCTAGGTGACAGTGTGAGTCTGCCACACCTTTACTGCTACTGTCCCTTCCCAGTGGCCCACCTCCTCGAAATAAGCATCTCGGGACTAGAGCCAAGACAGTGCTCCACATTTCACGTGTAGATTGTTGTCATCACACACCTCCTTCGTCCCCAGCAAAAAACATTCTTTCGCTTATCAGCCTTTCGGTGGGTTTCGCAGACCAGGCCAGCTCCCACTGCATTTGGTGCCCGACGGGCGGTCGCCGCGCCCGCTGACTCCTCCTCTCACCCCCCGCCAAGGGCCGCGGGGCGCCCTCTCGAGAGGCGGGCGGGGGGGGGGGCG